CTCCTCCGGCGACACTGGTCCTCAGAGAGGTGAAAAACCGGCCCAGTGGTGGCGCTGGCGCACGGAAGGGGCAGGGCAAGTGTTCCATCTGGTCAACACTATTTCCTGAGCAGCTACAACGCGCCAGGGGGTCAGTCCAGACGCGGGAAATGTGGCCGCCAACCCCAGCAAGCTCCTGCTCCTGGGGGTGCTTATTCTGGGGGCGTGGGGAGACACGCATGGCGCGGAAAACCAGAACTGGGAGGGAGCGTGGCGAGGGCCAGCAGCCGCGCGGCCGGCGTCCTCTACCACAGCGCCTGCGAGGAGGCCACAGCGCCCCGCGCCCCTCGCGCACGCAAGCCAGGGGCTGCAGGTGCCGCGCGCTGACTCTGGCGTGCCCGGGGCGCCAGGACGGCCCCAGGCTCCAGGGCCCCGCTCACCTGCTCTGCCAGACTGGGATGGGGTGCGGCCTCCCGAAAGCCTCTAGCGGCTCGCGGTCTACCCTCACCAAAGGCAGAAACCGCGCACTCCGCGGAACAGACGCGGCTGCTTGTCCACTTCCACGGGGCCTTTTTCCTGTCCACCTTTGCTAAGCGGCCTTCCCAAAGGCCCCCCCGGCCCACCGCCATCCGGCCGTGCCTGGGCACCACGCCCCGCCTCGCCTTCCTAGGTCTGCCGCGAGCCCCGGGGAGCCGCAGCGTGGGCACCGAGCACCTGGGCCATCGGCTCAAGTCCGCCCCGGGAGCGCTCCCGCCGCGCTCGCAGCACCCGCTCCCAGGTGCCCCCCCACTGCACACGGGCCGCGGGAGCCCTGGCGCAGCCAGCCGGGAGCTCCTGGCTGACCTCCGAGACCAAAGCCCTCTGGAGAGTGACGTCAGCGTGAACCCCTCAAGCCTCACGAATTGGAGGTTCCAACCTATTTCTGAGGCTCTGGCTCAGACGGAGTGGTCTGGGGGCCCCCCGCGTCCAGCTGCGGGACAAGCCAAGTGATGTCACCTTGCTCAGATGGGTGGTAACTTATCCATAAAGAATAGCACCTCCCTCGGGGTGGGAGGGCTTCGGGTGAACTCAGCCCTGGCAGGCTGATGAGGTCAGGGCGGACCCCAGCTCCCTCCTCCTAACCTGCCTCGGGGTGACGGCCACCCCAGGACAGGGTCTGTCCACTACACAGCTCCACAGCTCAGCGCCGCCGTGATCCAGATTGACCATGCCAATTTCTGAATGGCTGACAGAACGAGGACCCACTGCGGAGAATGTGCCCGATTCACAAGTCCAAGAATAGCCTGGAAGCAGACGCCATCTGTCAGCGTCCCTGCCCCGAGCTGGGCTGGCAAGGACCGGCGTGATTATAAAAAGCAAGCGAGAGGAGAAAGTACTGCGAGGAAAACTGGATCCAGCGCGCTTTAAGTAAAACCGCCCTGACCGAGAATGTAAAATTGAACGTTGGACGATTACTAAAGACGAAATCATTTTACACTGAAATTCTACCTTTGCAGTAAAAAACGCCGAAACTGCACCGAGGCCTGGGCCCCACTGGAGGCGAACTTACCTGTGACATCAATTCCTGCTCCCCCACCCCAAGGCGTTTGCGTTTAAAATTGCGATTGAGACCTACTGCAAGGACTTTATGGAAGTGAATTCCAGATCATCCGGTCGGCTGTCTGAACACTGCAATGGAAATTACCTTAGGGACTTCTTCACATAAACCTGGACTAGAAAATGGTCTGTGGCCGGCGTGACCTTCACTGCACGCTCGGCAGCACCTATCGGGTAATGTTGAGGTGGACGCTGGCTGGCTCTCCAGCAGGCGTGGCGAGCTTGGCCGCTCTCCCCATCAGTGTGCCCTCTGCAACATCACCTGAATTTCTGTCACTTTCTGAGGCAGTGGGATAGGAACCCCTGGGGCCCCAGCAGTCCCGCCAGTCTACCCACTGGAATCATCCCAAGCCCCCTTTTATGACTTGTAACAGAATGTAATGTCTGCAACTGCAATTTAATGCAGGCAGTGATGCTTCCCCAAGTCGGATTCTTCACCCAGAGGGCAAATAAAAGCTACACCCACCCACCCCCAACCCCCAGGTTCTAACCCTAACCTTGAAGAATCCAATAAGGCACCAAGGGGTCCCTCTGTCTTGTTGAGGTGGGCGGGCCAGGCTGGGTCAGCTTACATGTTGGGCTCATGCCCAAGGTCAAGTCTCACAAGCCGCACAGGAGACGCCAAGGCGCCCAGCCCTCGGTTAAGGGGTTCCTTTCCATCCACCTTCACCTCAGGAGTGATTTCCCTGAAGCAAGACTTAGTGAGGAACCTGAAGGCATCTCCTGGACCCCGGAGGCTGGGCAGGGGAGGAACACAGCCCTGTGATGGGGAGGAGCCTTCCAAAGGGGTGGTCCTTAGTCAGCAGCCGGTTGGTTGGCCACAAAAGTCCTGAAAGGAGAAGGAATAAGGCCTGTGTTCTGCTTGGGGAGGAAATGAAGTTTTTGTAAAACCAGTAAGCTTGTGCACCCTGCATGACACCCCCAGGTCTATCTCCCCATTTGTAAGGATCCAGAGACTCAATTTTAAGGTCATTTAGCACAAACACACGCTACGTTTTTGCACACGGCTTTCCCTGGGGAGGGGAGGAAGCACAGGGCTGAGGGGGAGGAGAGAAGGGAAGAGCACCAGGGTCTGGGTCCCCAAAGGGACGCGGCCTACCTGGTGGGGTGCCCACCACCCAGGCTGCTAGGTTTACTTTCCACACTGAGTATTTCTTATCCAGGCCCGTTAGCGGTTAATGTGGACCATACTCCTGTTCTTTAAACCCACAGGCCGTATCTGGCATCGGGAAGGCACAGTCCTGGGAGCAGGTCAAGGCCCCAGGAAGGAGCTAGCAGCGGGGAGGTAAACAGAGAAACTGCCAGGCCGGCTGTGCCTTTACCCTCTGGGCTGTGCACCTCTTCTCTCCATAAAATACAGGGCCCAGAGCTCCCCGGTGGTGCCGCGGGTTGGAGCGCAGCACCGCGAAGCTAAACCAAGCCGTGGCTGCTGCAGTGCGAGTTCGATCCCCGCCCTGGAGCTGACCCACGGCACAGCAGACCTCTCCTGCGCACCCGCTGCTCCCCTCAGCTGTGCACTTCGTCAGTCTGCCTGTTCTGCTCCCCGCTCTGTCTCTGGTGAATCCTCTCGCCGCCCCTGCACCTCTGCCTGTACCCAATTTCTGTATGCGTGAATAAATAAATCTTAAAAACAACCAAAAAAATACAGGGCCCTGCACTCCTCACCCTCAGGCTTTGGGAAACGGAGACTAACTGCGCCGAGCACAGGCCTCTAGGCCCAAGTGAGCACAGACAAGCGCTTGAGTATTGAGCCATCCGCAGCACTGTTATTTCTGCCACATAAATGTAGAAAATCTTCGGTGTGCACGAAGATACCCAGGGCTCTACACGACCCAGGCCCACCCACAGAGCCCACGGACAGGGTGGCGGTGGGGCCTGGGAGCTGGGGGTGTGGCATCATGGGGGCTGTCTGTGCCCTCAAGCCTCACTGACAGGTCCCCCCACTTCTCCATCTCTCAGGTCGCCCCTGGCCCAGAGCACAGTGCAAATGCCCTCAGCAGCGAGTAGTCACCAGAGTGCTTGTGAGCAGAGCCTCAGCCAGGCTTGCACCAGGGAGGAAGAGGCCATGGGTGGCTGCCCCTCCCCAAGTGGGAGGAACGGCAAACCTTTCCTGCGACCATCAGCTGGTCTTTGAGGGACTTTACTCACCCTACTGTGGGCTCTGGCCCACTTAAAGGGTACTCGGCCTTTTAAAAGTTTTTTGACCATAAGTCCCTCTATCGGAAGTGAGGCTGATATAAAACCTCACATGGATAAATATCAAATGTAGTTTAAAAAACTACAAGTTCAGAAGTCACTTTAGCCGTAGTGCTGAAGTTGGCAGTCATTCAGAAACTCGCTCGAGTGTGACGCTTCTTCCCCTCGTGTGGGCAGAGCCGCGCCAGGTCTGGGACGGCGAGGAGAAAGGCAGAAAGCTGCCGTGCTGGGAGCCCCGAGCCTTGCGTCACCTGGCCACGACCCAGGGAAAGGGCAGTCCAGCGCAGGGTTAGCCATCAGCCAGCGAGCTGCAGCAAGAGGGGACCGGGGACCCGGACGTCGGCTCACCTCGTTGGCCTAACAGATGTGAGATGTTTAACTCCACAAGGAGCAGCGCCTGGCGAAGTAGGGCGGCTCCTTCCCGGGGACGTGGGGCTAAGTGGCTTCGGGGGACGCTGCCCGTGACCTGCTCGGGGAGTCAGGGGCTGCCTTCGAAGTGGAAAAGCCCTTCCAATCCATTCCCGCTGTCGGCCCACTGGGGACTACGATCCAGAAAGTAAAATAACTCGCCCAAGACAGAGTCACCAGAGGAGGCCTGTTCCCCGACAGCAAAGGGGGGCGCTGGCTGGAGGTGTGTGGAGGCACGAAGGGCTGCACTGCACGGAGACATGGAGGGGGTGGGGAAACCCCCTTCTTCCCAAGCCCCACTCATGTCACTGCTCGGTGCAGCACCGCCTGTAAAACAGCCTGCCAGCGCCCCAGCCTGCCAGCGCAGGGACTGCACCCCAGTCGGCAGTGTGAGGTGGCTGGGCAGCCTTCAGCTGCACCATCTGCCCCAGGCTTCCCTGCCAGACTTTAAGATGCTTACAGTCAACCATTTCTCAACCCCCAGCAGCAAGTTCCTATGAACGGAATACAAAAGTTGCCATTTCTTTCATTCTTGGGGGAATCTCCAGAGACAAGTCCCCAGGCCAGAACAGGCTGGCAGCCAGCGTGGGGAGGTGGAGAGTGCCCGGGAAGCTTTATTTCCCTTACAGAAGCTGCACCTGTGCCCTCAGGGGGGGGGGGGGGGCTCATCAGCAGTCTGGCATAAACAGCTGACACCAAACTGAGCTGCGGACTGAGGTGGCCCAGGCAGAGGCAGGCAGGGGGCGGGGTGGGGGGGTGGGGGGGGCTCTCTACTCCCAAGCTGTACAAAATGCAGTCCTTCCACAAGGGTTTACAAAGTCTTTTTATTGGTTACAATTATATAAAATGTATCATTTGAATTTCTCCTAGTTATTAAGTGCTTGCTAATAAAAGCGTCAAAAAATGTTCTGCATACATCTGCCAAGCTCCAAGGACTACTTCAGGCTCCAGGGGCCGGCAAGGCAGCAGGCAGCAGCCACAGCCCATCTCGCCCTCTCTCACGGCTACGGTGGTTAAAATCAACGCACAACCCCTTTTGTATGTCAAATTGTAAATTTTAATGTTTTCATTAGAATAGTCTTTTATATCACTCTCCAACAAGAAACAATAAAATAACTAACAGCAAACTTCAATACAAGAACACTCTCCAGATTAACAACTCAAACAAAATGTAAGATGTAAATCACATACAATACAATTGAAGCGTCCAAAACAATTTAAATAATTTTAAATATTTTATTTTTAAACTGCTACAAATGCTTTGTACAATATTCCAACATAAAGTCCCCATAACAGAAATGTAACAAAATGGGAATGATAGTGAAAGGTTAAAGTGGCACAAATTCACCAAACAAGTATTCAGCTACACATTGTAAGAGGTAGATTACTTTTAAAGTTGAGAACAACAACAACAACAGAAAAAAAAAAAAAGAAAGAAAGAAACAAAAAACAAAAAAACATGAATAAGCCTAGCTGTTTTCCACCAACTCAGCCACTGACTGGGGGAGGCACAGAATGCGCGGAGCGATGCCGCCCCATGCCGCCTCTCCGCTCGAGAAGTCAGTCTGCGGCTCTCTGGGGGGGCTGCTGTGCGAGCTGGCACGGAACCCGCCTATACTTACGCGGGGACACACGTCTCCCAGGCCTGTGGTGTCGGGGCACTGGCGACTGCTACGGCCTCAGTGTCAGGGGGTCACGCGTCAGTGCCAGACCATGACCCGGAGGACGGCGTCCGCTCGGACACTGGTAACATGGCCCTGGAGGCGGCGTCACACGCATAATGGCTTCCGCTCCATTATGCCGGCCATCTGCTTGTGATAAAAACAAAACGGGCGGCGAGAGGAGCTACACGCCTCTCTCTGTCTACAATTCATTTAAAAGAAAGGCATCAAGAGCTGGTGTGTGACCCAAACATTTTAAAATGAGTGCATCAAAATTTGTCATCCCTGAAATCTACAACAAGCTACGGATAAAACAGAACTTGCTTTGCAAGGTTAAGTTCCGATCATTCCTCTCTCTGCCAGCGCCAAAAACAAAGGCCACACTCGGGTCTGAGTCGCCGGCGCCGTGACGACCAGCCAGCGCCCTCCTCTGCGGAGCTGGGTCCTGGGAGCCCGGCCCCGGCCCTCACCGGCAAGCGGCTGGGTTAGGGCTCTGAGTCAGCTTCGACCGGTCCTGCAAGCGTGGCAGACGCGAGTCCTTGGCCGTAGTGCTTATCCTAAGCCGAGCATGCAAGACCTGTGTTTAGTCAATTAAGGGTTGTTTTGTTTGGGGGCTTTTCTACAGGAAGTTCCTAGAAAATAAGAAAACTGAAGATAAATGACAACATAACACAACTTTACATGAACTGACCATGTGAACGAAAAGGTGAGCAGACCAGAAGACAAATGTCACGGAGACAGCAACGGAATGACGGGGAGGCCCGCACATGGAGGGCCCCTGCCCGACCTGGGGCGTGGCATCACTGGCGGCACGCGGCAGGACAGGAGAAGGGGCAGCCAGCATCTTTTTTTTTAGATCAATTCATAGAAATGGGAAAACTCAGTCTGGAATTGCATGTTGCTTCTTCATCTTTAAGGTTTTTGACTGTGGGACTGCAGCAGTGGGAAAAAACCAGCCAAGCCCACCTTAAAGCATGTGAACGGAGGCACTGAAGGAAGTAAAAACAGGCTGGGGTTTAGGAGCCAGCGTGCTCAAAGGGAGTGGAGAGCGGTACTTCCCGCCCCGGCCCAGGCCACGAGCTCTCGCCACAGCCTCCACTCAGCCCCGCAGACTGCAGCCAGGCTCCGCCACCCCAGGCCCTGGGCTGAGCACACAGCAGGGCCCGGGGCAGGCAGGGAGTGAGTGAGTGTGTGTGTGTGTGTGTGTGTGTGTGTGTGGAGGGTGCCTCTGAGAAAGAGGCAGGAGGGCGCACTCCTTCTACCCTATCTGGCACCGGGGTGCATGCTCCAGCAAATGCCCCACCAGCCAATTCTACTGAGCCCTGAGTGCCCAAGGGAAACTCTGATATCACCCACACGCTGGCCGTGTACTGGGAATCCTGTGGCGTCCCCACTGGCATTCAGCGTCTGAGTGTCGGGACAAGCTCCTCATCATGGTGTGGTACAGAGACACAGCAGAGGCGCTGCTGGTCCCGAGAACACGCGGGGACTGTGAGGTCACACACCAAGAGTGGAAGACTCGCACCAGAAGTCACCCCCGAGTAACGCCAGCAGCAGCAGCCAGCTAGCGTGCTCTGAGGCGAGCCCCTGCTCCAACGCGTGCTGGGGGCAGACACTGAGCTCAAGCCTCCTGGCTCCACACACCCGATTCCTTAGATGGTGCTGAGAAAGCCACGAGCTCTGAAGAAATGGCTGTTCTCGGGCCTAGGGCCTCCAAACATCATGCTTCACTGAACGTTCGGCTTTCAATATATGAACACACTCCACAAGGTCGAGGTCACTTACAGGCGACCCTGTGTGACACACACTTCCCTCAGGGGTGTCCCCAGCCCACCACCTCCAAGGCCTGCTTGCCTGACTCTCCTGCTTCCTCTGGTGCCAAATTTCATTCAGCAAAGTAACACGGCTCACCATCACACAAAGCCAGGTAATTAAAATGAACCAGAACAAAGACAAGAGATGATTTCATTAGGCACACTGGTCCTTTGCGTCATCAAAAGCACTGGGTGAGTACGAGGCTAACTGCACGGACTTCATAAATGTCATTCAGAGCTTTGCTCTTATAAAAGTACTTTTAACTTTTTATACCAACTTTAACCTTAAACTGTGTTCATGGGACCCAGAACACAGTGAGCGATTCTTTCAGACATTATGGGAGACGAGAGGACACACAGAGTCCATCCTGGAGCACCACTGCCCGGCAGATGTTTGCGATGAGCGGGGTGGGTAGAGGCATTGAACAGCCCGTGAGACACTGACACCCGATTCTTTAAGTGAGAAGCAACTGGAAAAGGCCCCAATCTAGCTGCCCGGCCACCGTGGGCACGCACAGGAACATCGGGGCCACAGCTGACACGCAGCCACTGCTGCTCACCAGGGAGAAGAGGCTTCCAGAAGCTACACATGCGGATGCCACAGCCCAGACCAGACCTGACAAGAGCTACAGCAACTGTTACCAAGGACATTTACAAATTATTCCCCCAGCACATTACTCGTCAGCCTTGGCTCGGGGCTTTCCTCTCATCGCGCTCTGGGGCTGACTGGAGGCCCCGGTACCAAGAAGCTACCTTGTCCCCGTCAGGGCTAAAGGTCTTCCCGGGCACGTGGACTCTGACTCGCTTTGCTTCAAACACCAAAGAGCTCCAGACACAGAAAGTTATTGCCAAGAAAGCCCTGGAACAGGCCGCTTACTCCCAAAAGCCCAGATCATAAATCGTTAGCAGGAGTTCTAGCTGATGACTAGCTCCACAGGTGAGGCCAGCAGGCGTTGCCCAGGAACCAGCAGGAACCCCAGAGCGCACAGCAACTCTGACCACTGAAAGGACTGAGGAAGCCTGAGGAGTCCCGGGAGGGCTTCTTCCGCTAGCCAAGGGCGCGTCTGTCACAAAAGTTCCTCCCCTAGGGAGAACATCGACCACAGCGCAACAGCACCTCACGTCTGAGACCAACTCTTCTCTCACTGCTGGGAACCAAAGGCACTGGCAGGAGAGGCCGACCCGCCCTGGCCACAGGGCTCCCCCCCCCCCCAACTGGCTCGTCATCCCACCGCTGAGACGGGAGGGTGGGCGCAAGGCATTTAAAGGGAATATGGCGTCTGGTTTTGTTTCAACCAGTGAGGCGAGTGTCCTGACGAAGGCAGGAGAACACTGTATGCTCAGTCCCTTCTAACCTGTGCTCAGGTCACGGAGCCAACTGGAGTGCAGTATGGGTTTAATGAGCTCGGGGATGGTCTTAGTGGAAGAAATGACCTGTGATCCAGAAATGGGACGAGTGCCATGAGGATGAAGGAAGTCTGAGTGAATTTCATCTTTTCGTAAGTGGGTACTTTTGAGAGCTCTTCCATGGTTTCAAATTCAATTCACAACTGGCCCTACGCACAGAAACGGTGCCACGTGGTGAGTCCTGGGTCTGACACAGAAGCTGAGCGTTCATCGTTACAGCAACCAAAGCCAGGCCCCTTCCTCGGGCCTACCCCTCAAGCAACAGCCATTTCCTCCAGTCACTGCTTAGGCCAACACCACACAGGGAGAGGGGAGAAGAGCCAAGTGATGGGCACCGCCTTCTGCCGCCTCCTTCTCCCCGCTGCTCCCCGCCCCCCAGCTCTTGAGCTCTGAACGCCTGGGCCCTGGAGGCGGCGCTTACCTGAAGTCCTTCAGCTCCTGCCTGCCACCGCCGTCCTCCCGCCTGCTCTCGCCCGGGTCGGCAGCAGCGGCCAGCTGCAGGCTGCGGGTGATGGGCCCCCCGCTCCGCTCTCTAGATTTTACATTGAACCGGTCTGTTCTTTTCTTGCTGGCCAAGGCAGACTTGCTCTGTAAGACAGCCTTGCTCTTCTGCACCCTCACGTGCAGGCTCCGGGACGTCTTGTTCGAGAGCTGAGCAGAGTGGTTCTTGGCCACAGCTTTGGGCTTCTTCCCCTCGACGTGCGTTATTTTGGCCATTCTGATTGGGCTCGAGTTCCTTAAGGAGGAGCTTGGCTTTTTGGCCTTTACCGAAGCGGCAAATTTAACATTCTGCTTGGACCTGAAGGCCGAGGTGGGCAGCGGGGCGGGCGCAGGCCCGGAGCTGCGGGCCCGAGTCTTGCCCAGCGGCGCCTGTGTGCTCTGCATTTTGATCTCCGCGTCCGCGGTCCGGCGGCGGCTGCTGCTGCTGCTGCCGCCGCTGCCGTTTCTGTCAGCACTCGCAGGGGAGGCATGTCCACCCTTCTTGGATGAATGAGACCCCTTTTTTTTGGAAGGAGAAAGGGGCTTCTTGGGGCAGCTGAAGGCAGCGTGCTTGTTCAGGCTGCCGATGTAGGTGAACTCTCTGCTGCAGTAGGGGCAGACGTGCGAGGCCGCGGCCGCCGCCCTGAAGTCGGCCTTCTGCCTGGCAGCCTTGTTTTTCTGAAGGATCGCCTTCTGGACAAGCTGATTTTTTTTTTTCAGCGCATTAAGCTTGAGCTTGTTCGACGACATCTTGCTGAGCTCCACGCTGAAGTTCAGTCGTTTGGGCTGCCCCATGCGTCGGAAGGCGTTTTTCCCGGCGGTCTCCAGGACCACCACCCCGTTTCGGGGCTGCACCGTCTGCTTCAGCGGCACCGGGTTCTTCTTGGGGGTGTACCGCTTCTTGTCGCTGGCGGACGCGCAGGCCAGGATGTGCTTGTGCAGCTCCGGCATGTTGTCCACGCCTTTCCCACACTTGGTGCAGCGAATGGCAGTGGTGAAGGTCTGTGGGATGTTGTGGGTGGTGAAGTTTGTGGCCGTCACGCCGATGCCCATGGGGTTTCGGTGGTGGTACTGAAAGGGAGGTGGTTTAAAGCTCGGGTAATGCTGGTTGAGGCCCAGCCGAACATCGGGATCCTTTGTCTTCACTCCGGAGGCCATGATTTTTATGGTGGTGTAGAGCTCTTCGGAGGAGTCGTTGAGCTCCTCTTCTTCCTTGGAGGTTTCCAGAGGCTCCCCGGGCAGGCTCTGCGCATGCTCTGCGTGCGCCTTGCTGGGGTCGGTGAAGTTCTGGGGCCGCAAGGTGCCGCTTTCAAACTCATGATGTGTGCACACTTTGTCTGGGTGCAGATCGCGCTGGTGCTGCTGCAAATTGCACAGAAAAGCAAATTCTTTTTTACAAACTGAACACACAAAGATATTCCCAACGCCATGAAGTAAAAAGCGATGTTCGGATAAAGCAGTCTTAGCCTTAAAAAGCTGCACACAAAATTCACATTTGAAGGGCCATTCTTCTGCATGAACAGATAAATGTTTGGTTAGATCTTTAATGGAAAGAAAAGGTGATTCACAGACATTGCAGACAAAGTTCTTGTTGAACGTCTCCTGACCGAGGTCCTGCTCGATGACAGCCTGGCCTTCTTCCCGGGGCTTCAGATCTTCGCTCTCTAAATCCTCCTGCTTGAAAGCTATCACGGGGAGAGAAGCTTCCAGATTATCCCCCGACGAAACCACAGAGGACACTGCTGAGAGAGGAGGGGGTGAAGGGGAGGAGGAGGAGGAGGAAGGCGAGAAGGAGGAGGAGGAGGAAGAGGAAGAGGAAAGCGTGGGTGGCCCGGGGGAACCAGCAGAGGCGAGGGGCTCCACAGAAGGAATGGGCGACGGGGAGGGGGACACTGTGGGGGACAGGATCGGCAGTGGGGACGGTGCGGCGGCATTTGAGAGAGGAGAGGGGCACGGGCGAGGAGACGCACTGGAACTGGGGGCAGGGGGAGGTACAGTAGGAAGGAGAGGAGGAGGGGGCGTGGCAACAGTTAACACAGGAGGGCAGGGCGGGGGCGAGGAGGGATTTGTGGGGGTCAAGAGAGGAGGCAGCTGCCCAGAAGGGAGGGAAGGCGTCTGGAGCGTGGGGGAGGAAGGCGAAGCATCAGGTGGGGACTCGACTGCTGCGGCAGGTAAGCCAGAGTCGGGCCCACGCTCAGGATCCGGCTGGGGACCTGGGGATTTACAAGGACTCGGGCTCCGGGGCACATCTGGAGAGTTTTCTGCAGGTAAATCGATGCCGTTGTATTCATTGAGAAGAACCTTCTGCAGCATGCAGGTGGTCGGCTTCTTTTTCTTGACGGCACTGCAGGCTGGCTGCATCAGATGATTTTCTTTGACCTCTTTACCTTCAGAGTCACCACCAGGCTTTCTGTGCACACTGAGATCCAGCGCGGATTCCCACTGGGCCGGCGTCTTGCCTGTGCCCTCAGCCTTCTGCTTCACCCCGCTGGATAAATCCAGAGGCTGCTGGTTGCACACATTGCTAAAAGTAGGCCCGCCTGCCCACTCTTTGGAGACTTTAAAGTCATCGAAGCAGGGCGGACTCACAGTTTCTCTCGAGTCTTCTCTCCCAGACAAACTCCACACTGGTGAGCTGCTATGACTTTCTAACTTGGGTTTTTTGGAGTTCAGCGCTGCGTCAGTCCACACTGCTTTTCCATCGCTTTGCTTCCCAAAGTCTCGAAGGGCAGGGCTGTGCTGGGGAGAGCTGGGGGGAGAGCTGGTCCGCCGCTTGAACCTGCTGGAAGTGACAGGCAGCATGGAGGCGGGTGCGGACACACACACGGGGCCCAACTTGGGTACCTCTGTCGCCGAGATCCCCGCGGGAGGAGTCAGCTTGTCCTGCGTCTGCAGAAGTTGCTTGAGCTTCGATGACAAATGCACACTTTTCTCCTTGTGCACAGACACCACCTCCAAGGCGGAGATGCTCAGGGGCAGGCTCAAGGAGCACGAGGGCGCCCCTGCCGGATCTGACTCTGCCTCAGCTTTGATTTGGGGTAACGCAGGAGGACTGGCAGTTCTCCGTTTCTTGGACTCAGGGTTTGTGCTGCTGGAAGGTTCTTTTGGAGGGTCGTCTGCTGTAGGGACCTGAGGGGCCTTTAGATTCTGCGTTATCGCCACCGTCACCGGAGCAAGCAGGCAGTTGATGCCGTACAGGTCCGCGGAGCTGGCCTCCATCTCAATGACATCGCAGTTACTGGTGCTGCTGCTGGGCTGGATTTTACCGTCGATGTAGTAATTCAAGTTTTCGGAGATATTGCTAGAAATATCCATGATGTACACGTCGTCGGCCTCCCCCTCCTCCTCCGGCTCTGTGCTGGGCACGTAGGCGTTCTGCGCGGGCTGGGCCTGCTCTGCGGGGGGCTGCGGCTCTTCCAGGCCTCCTTTTCGCCGCACGCCTTTGGGGATCAGGTGGCGCTCGTGAACACGACGCTGGTGCCGCCTCATGTTCGTGTGAGTCCCGAACACCTTTTTACAGTACTTGCACGGATGGAGCTCTTTCACTTCTCCGTTCTCTTCCACAACAGAATTGACTGCTTCTTGGGAAGCTTTCTCTGAATTCAAGACCAGGCAGTCTTGCCCAAGACTGGGAGGGCTGGAGTCGGCCTTGGGGGCGGTGCTGTCCCCAGACACGGGGCCGTCCGCCGGGTCCTCCGGGGACGGCAGGGCCAGGCTGGGCTTGCGCTTCAGCCCCGCCTCGTGCCGCCGCTCGTGCCTGCGTCGGTTGATCTGCGTGCCAAAGGCCTTCCCGCAGTACTTGCACTTGAAGGCGTGGTTGACGGTGGGCATGTGGATGTGCACGTGGCGCTCCAGCCCCTGCTTGGTGGTGAACTTGCGCTCACAGTGCTGGCACGGAAACATGAGTGTCTCACAGACGTCGCCATTGGCCTCTTCTTTTGTTGTGGGAGTTGTCACAACAGGTGCTGTGTCTACAGAGTCTTCAAGGGCTTCCTCTGGCACATTTTTTGGTTCTTCTAATAAGTCTTCTAGTTTCTCATCACACCGTATCTCTGGCTCTTTCACAGAGCTGTCGTTTGGCGTGTCAGCTTCATCTTCCCCCTCTTCTTCCAACTCCTCCTCGTCGTCGTCCTCCTCCTCGTCCTCCTCTTCTTCCTCCAAATCATGGGTCTCACAGTTTGTGGCTTCACGCTTCTCATCTGGTTCCGCTGGAGGCTCACAGGGGTGGGTAGGCATCACCAGTTCTGGACGCACATCCTGGCCCGCCGCCTCCTGCGGGGCTGCTGTCTGCTCAGCAGCAGCCGCTGCAGGCTTCTCGTCCTCGTCTTTAGGACCTGGAAGCACAGGAAGCAGAGAGCACAGCGGTGAGGCTGACACCTGTCACAGCGAGACCAAGGCTCGTGTCTAAGAGTATGAGCAACAGTGACTCTACCTTCTCCTTCATAAAGTACGGACATGAATCCACATCAGTCCCTCACTCCCTCAAGAGCGATCACGGGGCACCGGCTACAGCGCAGGCATCATGCTGGCAGTGAGCACACAAGGCACAAAGCAAGCCGCACACTGCCCCCCTTTCCCTTTCTGGTGTGGGGGGCACGCGTGTATCAATGGACTTGTTTGCAGAGGGTGGTGCCTGGGACTGAGCTGGAGCAGCAGGCACTGAAGCTCGAGAAGCTGGCCGTGAATTCCAGCTCATGTGACTCGGCTGCAGCGAGAACTCTGCTAAGCGCGCCGCAGGTCAGGGTCAGAGTGGCCTGTTGGAATAGAGTGACTCTGCTTCCTGAAACTAAGTATGCAGAAGAAGCCAGAACACCTTCCAGAAGCCGGTAATCCGAATTTTATCAAGTAAGATCTGAAGTGTACACCTCAGACAAGCCCAGCCAAGCTCCAGCATGTGGCCATGTGGTCAGGGAAGCGTTGCCGGCGACAGTGGCAAAGACCCAAAGATAAGTCAGGCAAATACCCAGGGAGGGAGCCAGCCAGGAGGAGGGAACGCTGTAAGAGCACGCTAGATGTGTTCAAGGAAAAGCACAGGAGTTGGGAAGCCTGGAGGGGGGAGGAGGATGGGGTCACGGGGGAGGGGGGGAGGTGGAGACAGGAATGAGATCAGAAAGCCAGAAGCCAACTGTTACAGAACCTTAGGCTACTGCCTTTGCTCTGAGTGAAAGATGGAACTACTGAAAATTCTAAGAGAAACTGGTTATGACCTACTTACAGTCAAGAGAATCACAGCTGCTCTGAGGAAGATACAAAACTCTAAGTGGACAGGTGGCGGCTGGGAGGAAACAGAGGGGCACCCTGCATCCCCTAGAAGGGCAGGTAGAGAGGAGGGTGGTAGGGGAGGGGGGAGAATGGGCATGTCTCAGAGGTGAAACTGGCCGGCTACGGTCAGGGGGGTTTCAGAGCAACTACCGTGACCCTGCTGCCTGGCCTGTGGGGGACTGAGTTTGGGAAATGTGCCCAGGCCGGTGTAGGCATTTTCCCTGAATGTGCTGAGGTTTGAGGTACTCACGATAGCCAAGTACAGACTCAAGTTCCCCAGTGAAACTGAGCCAAGAAGGGGACACGGCCTCAGCTGAGTGGTGGCATTATAGCCTGGGACCAGAGAAACTCGCCTGAGCGAGACAGTGAAGCAAAGACCCAAAGATAAGTCATGCAAATACCCAGGGGAGGGAGCCAGCTAGGAGGAGGGAATGCCAGAGCAGACGCAGACGGACAGCAGGGAGACCGCAGACCACGCCAGTGCTCAGAAGCCTCTGAGGCTTGTGCAGGGCCCTGGGAGTGGCTGCCCCCACGCTACCTAAGCGAGGACAACTCTAGTGGACATGCTGAGAAGATGAGGCCCCAGAACTGAACACCCCATTTACCAAGGGAGCTGATGACAATCTGAGTGAGTGCCAAAGGGAACAGGAGAGAGACAGGGAAGCCAGTTTCACTCTAAGGAAAGCAGGGACATGGGGTCAGGGCAGGAGGAAGCACAGAGATGGCAGGGGCTCCGGGCGAGAGAGGCACCGCCCACTCAACACTGGCCCGGTGAGCCAGGCCTTCCCTGCACACTCCTCAAGGCAGCGGGGAACCGCTGCAGGAGAGGCAGAGTGCTGACTACCCCTGCCCCCCGTGCCCGCCACACCCGGCAAAAAGCCAGGAGCACAAACAGCGCTGTCAAGTTCCTTAGCCTCGTGCTGCTTCGGGGCAACATGTGCAAGCAAGACAGTGATGGGTTCTGCTATGGGAGCGCAGAGGGGCACAGGCAGGAGCGTACAGGTCATCAGGGAAGGCCTCACAGAGGAAGGGCGGTGCAGGCTACATCTGGAGGCCAGGACACAAGGTTGAAACGCAACAGGGAGAATCAAACTAGGCAGCACATCCCAGACTCGTCTAGACTCACCTGGGTGCACGAGGATCCACTAAGGCCTATAAAGCAGGAGAAAGCTATCTGGGAGACCTGGCTGTAGTGTGGCCTGAGGGGCTAGAGGAAGACGCGACAAGAGGCCCAGACCAGCTCGGGGCAGGAGTATTGGGAGGGAGAGGCTGGCTGTCCACAGAGATGTAAATGAAAAGCAGCAGTGGGGCAGGGAGACATGGCCAGACTGAGAGACCAGTCTGGTGACTGTACACAGGGAGGCAGAAGAAGAGTTAAAAGGCCACTTGCCCAAGCTCTGCAAACACAAGGCATCGCCCTAAGCCCAAGGCCCCGTGCCACAGCGCACCTGCCATTCTGAGGAAGTCCCGTCTGTCTTCCACTCATCGCCCACATTATCAGAAATGAGGCTGCTGTCTAGAGAGAAACCAGTCTCCTTTACCCTACATGAGGTTCATAAACTCCAAGGCTACTCTACCAACTGGGAAACCAGTTACTTGGGGTGACGTCCTTCAAACTAGTGCTAACTTTCTTTTCAAATACATCTTTAACAAAGACCCAATATGTTCGAGTCAAGAGAGAATTGAAAATAACATCACTGTGGCTCTTAATTCTCTTTACAGATTTCATTTGCTGGTCAAAATCTGTGGCTCCTTTTAATGGGGAGGAGGGGGCCAGCCATGTCTTTGCCTGTGACTGTAGACAGTTCCAGATGTCAAAAACTGTCCAAATAGGACCAAAACGTACCACTCTACTGCATGAACTAGAAAGATCCACATGCAACTGTGCCTCCCACCTGGTGAGCTCTTAACATAAGGAAGGCCTGGGGGGCACGGCGAAGAACCTGGAGGGGCGGCCAGTGCAGGTAAAGGCTGTGGGGGACAACACAGCACCAACTGCCCCGGTCACCAAGGGGACAGGACAGGGAGCCGCGGTAGCCAGTTCTTTCTAAATGCTGCCAGCGCAGGCAGCAAGGCTCTTCGGCATCTCTGCTGCTGCTGGTGAAACACGCCTGACTTAGCAAATCTGCTGTCAGCAGACAGGACTGAATTTTACAAGAGTTCTTGGCTTCTGAAAGGCCCACATATCTGCTGCACATGAATGCCGTCACCACAAGCAGCACCAAGAGAACTGGTTTAAAAGACGCAAGATATTTTGTTGGGTTTTCCCCCTTACAAATATTTCTTGAGTCACAAGTCTCTATTTTGAAACTCTCTGGGCCTATCTGGGCCACTGGGATACCGCTTGAGCCTTGAGCAAGTGTAGGTCTCTGTGTAAAGTGCCACAGAACAAAATGGAACACACAGCCTGCATGTCTAACGGCAAGTCTCAATCTGCTTTCTGATGCCCTTTACAGCCATGTCTCTCTGGGACTTCTCGCCTGAGGAGACACCCAGCAAAGGGATCCTCAGAAAACACTGTAAAGAAAGCTGTGTGTGTGGGGATGGAGTGAGGGGGCTGGGAGTGGGGGAGGGGAAGGAAAGTAATGGTTGTGCAGGGCGAGATAAAATAGGAATTTAAATCTAAAAACAAACACATTTTATTCTGAAATATAAATCCAAAGGTATTTGATATTTCCAAGTAACATTTTAATTGAGGAGCACACATACACAAAGTGCATACTTTACAAAGGCATATAAATTTTAAGCATTTAAAAGATAGAACGTTCCTAAGTAAATGTCTGAAAAGCAAATAAGCCCCCACAGATCACGAGTGGACCAGAACCCGTACCCCAGAGGCCTCCTCACAACCTGTCAATCTGACTTTGATGATCCTGAACTTTATAAATTATTTATGTGATCATATAGTATGCCTCATTTTTTCTTAACCAGGAGATAACATCATCTTTAACAAAGAAGAAATATATTCTTTTCTTTTTTTTGAAATTGAGGAGGGCTGTGGGGAGGGCCCAGCCGGCTGTGCTAACTGAGGCAGCCACCTGCATCTACCCTACCATGACTCCCGGGGGCACCCCAAGGAGGCCCGAGGCCTAAGCGAGTGGTGACTCGGAGTAGTCACAAGGCCCTTGCCCAGCTCACCTTCCGCAGAATCTCTCATATTTGCAGAAGTGGAGTTTGGCTCACTTGTCTTCAGTTGTGAATCTTCGGTTTTGTTTCCTTTGTTTTTATTTTCCTGGGATTTTTTCTTCCCTGAAACATAATATATACGTATTCATCCATCTACTCATTCACTTCACTATCATCCAAAAGTCCTGAAGGAGAGAATTGCTAACCCAAGCTGTGTATTTCTAGGCAATTATCACTTCGGATTCCTGAAGGGATGATGAAGACACGAATATTTTTAAGTGATGTTAGAGAAAACAAGAACCCACAAAGCCCGTGTTTTTTCAGACTCTTGGGCATTCAGTGCTCTCACAGCTGGAATAACCATCAAAAGCACTGATAATACATTCTAGAAAAGTTAACAATATTGATGTCAAAGGAAAATTAGATAATGGCACTGAGTTTCAATACTACACAAATAAAAGGAACTGGAAGTCTGCTCATTTGTAATAAGCACATTAGAGAAAAACATTATGGTAAAATTTGGGCATTTAGTTAAGGTAGGATTATCCGTAATTGTTAACATGAACCAACAAGAGCCCAGATTCTGCTGTACTGAGAGGAACACGCGCCAACTGCCCAGTATCAAGTGCAGAGTGATCATGAATAATTCACCAGACCAGCTCTGCCCCAGGGGCTCTGCCCCAGGGACTCCGCTCCAGGACCGGCACAAGTCAGTGTTTCATTAACAATTCCGAGGGTGGAATTTGGGAACCATGAACTGCATTCCAAGTGATACTGGGTTCAGAAGATAAGATTAAAATACAACACATTTCCGACAAGTTGGAGCACTGAACTAAGTCACCATGACTGTCACCAGGGACAGACAGTCCTGCTGGGGAGTACCAGAACCGAAGGGCCTGGAAGCCAGGATTTGCCACCCCTCTTTCCCACGGTTTAAAAGCTAGGTTTCTGGGCCTTCCCTGGTGGCACTGTGAAGCTATCAGCAGCTGCTTCAGCACAAGCTGAATCCCCAGCCAGGGAGTGACCCCCAGGGTGCAGACCCCCTATTTCCCGGCTGCTCCTCTCAGCAGTGTATGTCAGTCGATCTTCCTGTTCTGCTCCCCCCTGTATCTCTTGTGAATCTTCTCACACCCCTGCACCTCTGGCCTGTATGTACCCTGGTTCTGTCTGCATAAATAAGTGAATCTTAAAAAAAAAAAAAACAAAAACTAGATTCCTTATTTCTGCTAGTCTCTGCTTTTGTTTTCAGACCGAGAATAGCTCCTACTCTTCTCCCTCACACTCTTTCTGTAATGCTAACGTGACTAGGTCCTCTAGGTCCTGCAGCTGTTCTTTCCCTTCTGAAAATGAGTATTTGTCAAAAAAAAAAAAAGGTTTAATACTTAATAATCAGCAATTAAATCTGTTGGTCTTAAAAAGTAAATTCCCGTGCTCGCTTCAGCAGCACATATACTAAAATTGGAACGATACAGAGAAGATTAGCATGGCCCCTGCGCAAGGATGACACGCAAATTCGTGAAGCGTTCCATATTTTTAGTGAGAATGGCACATCTTCAAACAACTAGCAACAACAAATGTTGCGAGGATGTGGAGAAAAAGGAACTCTCCTGCATTGCTGGTGGGAATGCAAACTAGTACAACCACTATGGAAAACTGTCTGGAGGTTCCTCAAACTGCTAAACATGGAGCTTCCCTACGACCCAGCAATCCCACTCCTAGGTATCTACCCAAAGGACACAAAAACACTGATTGAAAAAGATACTTGTATCCCCATGTTTATTGCTGCTTTATTTACAATTGGAAAAACATGGAAGCAGCCCAAATGCCCAAAAGTAGATGACTGGATTAGAAAGATGTGGTACATATATACAATGGAATATTACTCAGCAACCAAAAAAGAGAAACACATGTCTTTTGCAGCAACTTGGATGGAGCTGGAAAAGATCATGCTTAGTGAGATAAGCCAGAAAGAGAAAGAAAAATACCGGATGGTGTCACTCATAGCAGGAGTATAATGGACCAGGCGAGAAAATAACAAAAATAATGAACAACCATATACCAGAGACATTTTGTGGGGGTGGAGTGGGGAATGGGATCAAAAACAGGGGTGGGGGGGAAGGGAGGGAAATGCACGGGACTATGGTGGTGGCACAGGGGTGATTTGGTGATGGGAAACCCGCGGGGATTACAATTGAGATGGAAAAAAAAAAGTGCAAAATGATGTAAAAATAAACTTTGTAATAAAAAAATTAAAAAAAAAGTAAATTCCCAAAATACCATTTTAAATCCCTAATTTACTTCAGTCAAAAAAAAAAAAAAAGATGCAAATAAATCCCATCAGACACATCTCCTAGTTCACTTCAGAGGAAGCTAACAGGGAGCTCAGGACATAAGCACGTGAACTTCTCTGCAGCCATGCAGTGGCAGGACCAGGTGCCAGGAGCCTACAGGGACGCAGCCCTGTGCCCTGGGAGGTCACTGGGGAGGGCACCTGCACCCTGGCCAGGGGCTACCAGAGCACCCACCACAGGCTGCAACAATGGCTGGGACTTCTGGAGCACCGTATGTGCCATGGGTGAGGGCCTTCTGCCAAGGGGCTGCCCAACGCAATGGAGGGTGATGAGCAGCAACCCCAACACACTCCTCGGCACCCCCACCCAGGAAGTGACAGACACAAGTCTCCAGAGTGGCCGAATGTCACTCAGAGGGAACCACTGAACTAAACCTACACAGTAAGCATCATGGGTTCTGCAGTTCAGACATTTATTAACAATTTTAAAGTCTTCAAATAACAATCAACCAATTTTAAAAACAAAGGAATGGGGCAATTAAGTTTACTTCCAAAACATCTTTGCTGTAAACACTGATAGTTCATGGTAAAAATGAGTCTTACAAATCTAATTTCACCACTCACTAAGGACCTGAGATTATCTGACAAAGAACCTGCTTTCTCGGATTTTAGCCGGAGCCCTCCAGCCCTCGGGTACTTCCCACGAGGCCGCAGACCAGAGGGGAAAAGGCTATTTTTCAAGGGCAGACAAATGCAGAGGGGCTCGCCAGCCTGAGACAGATGCGAGCTGGAGGTGGGTGTTCTCTGACCCACTGGGCTCACCAGTCAGCTGTACGCACAGCAGGGGCTGGAACCCACCACTACATTCCCCTTAAGTCAGTGGCTCTTTCCTCGGATACTTGTTATCTTGTTCCACAGGTAAATCGGAACAAAATAAAAACCACAACAGTCTTGTCTGTGGCTTTTCACAAAGCGGAGTGCGGGGGGGGGGGTGGCCCCACACGTGCGCACTTCCCAGCAGTGCTGAAGGCCCCATGTAGGGCACCTTCACCTGCGCTCCTGTGGGCCCCACCAGACAGGCAGGCACACCAGAGACATGATGCACACAGCTAGTGTGTACCCAGCAAAGCCACACACCCAAAGATGAAGAAAATGGGATGAGACAGATGGGAAGAGCAGTTCTCTCCCACACGGCAGGTTCTGAGCTGCCTCTGTGTAACCAAGGCAGTGCACTCACTCAGGCCGGGCCAGGCCCACGCACCACCCTGCTGAAGAACTCAAAGGCCCCAATGCTTCCAGCACTACAGACACCCAGCCGGGAGTCACCCACAGCTCCATCGCTAGCAGGAAAACCCTAAGAGGACGAGGGCAAACATGCTCTTTATTTAAGACCGATAACAGCGTAAGAGTCTTCTATTCTTCACCAAGCACTGCAGAGCCAGTATTTTCACAGACAAATGGGAAAAACAAAGGGGTATAGGCTTGTACTGCATTTGCAGCAGAACAGCACACTGGGATGCATACTGTTTTTCCATGTCAATTTTATCTTATGTCAGAAACAGTTATTGCTCAAAACTGCAGAACTACATCTGAGCAAGTTAATAAATGTGCATCTCCATTAAATAGTATCAATAAAACTTGATTTTACAGGAACAGAAATCCGACAGCCATGACAACTACTTAAAGACAATGTATAGCACTTTCCACTGATGCGTAGAATCCAAGCTGCAAAACCAAAACTGCCAAAAGCATCACATGAATAATTTAACCTGGGCCTGGACTATGTTCTGCTATTCTAATAAACTGGACAAACACAAGAAAATTCTAGAAAATAATCTTTCACTATAAAATGTGCAGACATCAGAGGGGATGCAAAATTCTAGGAGACAACTTGATCACCACGAAATATTCATCACCACAAAGGCTTTTTGGTGACTGAAATGAATTAAACCTGAACCACAGATGGGGGACATGCACCTCAGGAGAGCACATCATGCCAGGCGGCCGCACGGGCCCAGGACACTGATTCCCAGCCAGGCAGGCGCGTGCATAAGAGGCGCTGTGGTGCCAGCCCCTGCGCCACGGGAACTGTGCCTGCACCTGCACCTGCTCCCAGAGGGGCCCACCCCTCTCCCACAGCACCACCTGCCACCTCCGACCTCACAGCCGTCACTTTTGGGACGTCATTTGCCTGAAGTTTCCCCTTTGCGCCTGAGGGTCTGGTGGGTTCCATGTTCTCACAACCCCTCACCAGCCTCAGAACACCCCCTAACCTCTTCTGAGGGCGGCTCCTTCCACAGTCTCCTCTTCTGCCACCAGTAGACGGGCCCTCACAGGAAACCCAAAGTGTGCAGCCCAGCTCTCAGCCGGGTTGAAGAGTTTAAGGCAAAGAGCTGGGCAAGGCTGAGGGCCCTGGAGTCCACGGAGTGGGGCTGTGCTGACTGCTCAAAGGCACGTGGGGGCTGGAGAAGGAGCTTATTCATGGCCTCCATCTGCCTCCCCACTTTACAACACTGCTTTGCACATCCTCTCGTGGATCTTCGCACAGCACATCCACTTTCTTTCAGCCAGTTTGGAGCAACAACCTGTACCCCCATCTAATCGGTCTCGCCAGCCAGGGCTCGACAGTCTGTCAAGTCAGTGGCTTGCCCAAGTTCTCAGGTCACCCTCAAAAGAGAGCAGGGGCACGCCACCTGCACACCAGGCAGGGCCAGGAAGTTGGCATAAGTACACAGGCACGATGCAGCTTCCTGGTTCCTGGAAGGCGGGGCTGAGAGCCGAGGCAGCGGGCCGCAGGGCGCAGTGGCATACTCTGAACACCTGGGTT